TGTGACAGACGGGGAGCATTCATTGCCTCAGCTCCCAGAGAGACTGTAACATTGCAAATTCGAATCATGCATCTGGCATCACTTTTGCACGAAGTGGGATGAATCTTAGGGCAATCACGTTCAGATGCTGGTTTCTAGTTTCCCCTTTTTTTTTTCTTTTTTTTTTTGGGAAAAACTCCGAAGAAGATCGTTGGCTCTTTGTGCACTTGCTCCCCATGACAGACGGGGAGCATTCATTGCCTCAGCTCACAGAGAGACTGTAACGTTGCTATCCCAATCATGTATCTGGCTTCACTTCTGCACGAAGTGGGATGAATCTTAGGACAATCAGGCTCAGATGCTGGTTTCCCGTTTCCCCCTTCCCCCCCCCCCTTTTTTTTTGTTGGAAGAATATCTTCACGGGAGCATTCAGTGCATGAGTGGAAACAAGAAAACGACGGCCTGTTTAAGGGGCGGTACCTGCTTGCAGCAGCAGATGTCCCATATTTTTCCCCCCTCCCCGCAGGCTCGGCAAAAATCGGCGCGCAGGCAAAAATGAGGATCGGTCCTGAAGAACAGGTAGGAACTGGTGGTTTAAGCTAGTTCTTCCTTTTTTGCAGGTTCTTGTTTCCATCCTTCATTAGTTTCTTGGGGTTCCTTCTCGACTTCCTCCCCCCGGGTCTCCTCCTCAATTCTTACCTTATCCCTTCCTTTCAACAATCTAGACACTGTCTCCAATAAGGCACTGTTGCTATCAATCTTCTTTTCCAGGATGGACAAGATAAACCATTATAGACAGTACAATGGTTGCAAGTTCACTGCCTGCTTCTTCAAAGCAGGGCTGGTCCGCGGATGGACTGGGGACCCCTACCCCATCCATGGTCCTCCCGGTTGGACCAGCCGATGGCCCAGGCCGGTTCCCTCCCTGTCACCCCCATCGCATTTTTACTGCGGCTTGAAGTTTTTTTTTGGCGGCTCGCACTTGTTGCAGAGGTCTCGTGGGCGCCGCAATTACGAAACCGGGTCCTGTAGGCCGGGATTTTCAAAGTCCAAAAAGTGGCCAATCTTGGCCGCCGATTGTCGCAGACCAGCGGCAAAGATCCGCCACTGTTTCGAATCAGTGGCGGAAAATTGAATCGCGCAGCAGGGGAAAATGCATCGTGCTATCAACCCCGCTCACCTCCAGTCTGTGTAGCTGCTCCGTTGTCGCCTCGAACAGCCAGCCACGCCATCATCACCACCGCCAGCCAGCCGTGCCATCGTCGGTAGATCATCCAGGGGTGCAGCATTGCCATTGTCGCCTCTGCCAGCCAGCCGCGCAATCGCGCCCCCCGCCTACAAGCCACTCCATCACGCCCCCAGGTTTGTTTTTTCTTCTTCTTCTTCTTAGCGGTCACTCTCCTCGCCAGTTAGTCATAGCCGTCCTCCGCTGCTTCTTTTTCTTCTTATTTTTCTTCTGCTTCTATCTCCTCCTCTTCTAGTCCTCCTCTCTTACCCATCGGCTTGCGTTCTTCTTCCTCCTCCTCCTCTTCTCCTCCTCCTCCGTTAGCCATTCCCGTTAAATTTTTTTATTTATTTTTCCGCTGCTGCTTCAACTCCCTTGCGTTCTTATTCTTCTGTTTCTTGTTCTCCCTCCTCTTCTTCGTCATTTTCTTCTTCCACCTCCTCCTCCTCCTCTTCTTCTCCTCCCTCTTCTTCTTCTTCTTCTACTTCTTCTTCTTCCGGCTCCTCCTCCTCCTCTTCTTCTCCACCTCCTCCGTTAGCCATAACCGTTTATTTATTTATTTATTCTCCGTTGGTGCTCGAACTCCCTTGCGTTTTTCTTTATTCTTCTTCTTCCTCTTCCTCCTCCTCCTCTTCCTCTCTCCCCTCTTCTTCGTCATTTTCTTCCTCCTCCTCGTCTTCTTCTTCTCCCTCCTCCTCCTCTTCTCTCCCCTCTTCTTCGTCATTTTCTTCCTCCTCCTCCTCCCTCTTCTCCATCATCTTCTTCTTCTCCCTCTTCTTCTTTCCCCTCTTCTTCGTCATTTCTTCTTCCTCCTCCTCCTCCTTCCCCTGCCCCCCNCCCCCCCCCCCCCCCCCCCCCCGGCACACCCCAAAAAAAAAATTCCAACATTCAAAGTTTTATTGCAGAATCCGACAGATCTCGGCAAGCGCAGTCGGATCCAGCGAAAAAAAAAATGAAAAAAATTCGGGCATTTTTTTGGGCCATCTAGTTTGCCGGTTGACCCCCCTTATAGCCCGGGCCAGCTCGACCGGCCGGTTGCCGGCCCAGCCCTGCTTCAAAGTGCAATTTATGTCCGAGTTCATCCATCATTCTTTCTTCTTCTTACTCTTGTTGCTTTCTCCGGAATTCCTCAATCTTCCTTCTTTATTCCTTTATTATTTTCTACTTGCCTGACGTTTTCCTCCATTATCTCCACAAACAATTTTGTTTCCTTTCTTTCCTCTTTCTTTTTCTTTCACTTTTCTCTTCTCGTCCATCTTTTCCAGATTCTCGACGACGTAACGGTCAAGGGCCATCCGCCCTTGCTTAACGAGTTGCTTGCTTAATGAGTTCCTAGACTCTTCCCGGTTTCCAGCATCTCAACGCTGTCTTTGCTTTCTCCAGTTCACCTTCTGCAGCACGCAGATTGAACCGTCCATGCACCAGCCGTCCAGCTTCTGGACCGGCATCGTGTATTTCCTCGAGTAACTGGCGAAGAAGGCCTATGAGAGTCTGCCTTCTCGCATCAACCTGACCACGAGTCTTGAGCTCCCCCCCTTCTCCATCAGCATAGACGGTGAGAGGGATGGGAAAGAAGAGAGGTATGAACCCGATGAGAATGGAGGCACGCAGACATTTCGAAAGATAAGTCATTTTCCCCAGTGTGTGAATGCCGCACAATAAATAAAATTAAAAGACAAAAATAAATTCCACAGCACACGCAATTTCTACAACAAGAAATAATCGAGGCAGATAAGAAGAAACAAATTCTCAATTGATTTCTAATTCTAACTTGCTGTCTGTTCTATGTGATGACGTCCTACAGAAAGTGTACAGGTACCGCAGCCACGACCAGTGTGATCAAGACAACAGCACACATGTGAGTATGCACAGCAACCACAAAACAGTCAAGCAGGTGAGTAAGTCAGCCAACACAACCAATCAACAATGAAGGGTCAGCCTTCCTTTCTCTACAGCTGTACCATCTGCAGAACCAATGCAGCCAAACACAAGAACCAGCACGCGACACTACAGCAAATTGCGAAGCCGTACCGTCTGCCAGCACACAAGTGCACAATCAACACCTCACCCACAGCAGCATGCCATGCATGCCACGTGTCACCCCTGGAATGACAACACAGCAGCTCTACAGAATCTGCCACGTCAGTGTCAAGGACCTGGAAGGTCTACGAGGGGGATGCCATGTCAGCAATACATGGTCTGCAGACACATACAACGCTGCTATGCCACATCAGCTCAGAGTGTGCAGCGCTTCATCAGCAGGCAATCCCAACACAGGTATGTGCCACGTCAGACTATGCCCTGCAGTACAGAATGCCACATCAGCATCCCCATGCCACATAGGCAACGCACCACATCATCGGTCCCAATATCCACTCTCTCTCTTGACCAGCGCCACGTCAGCCTGTTGCCAACAGAGCTCTCGTCCGTATCGCAATGTCTTCAGTGTATCCATGTCATCACCTTGAAGGGAGGCTGCACACACGTGCGGTACTCGATGTCTAGACCTGCAGTATTACCGCGCGCATTAATAAACACATTTCCTTCCTGCACGTGCGGCACCTCCCACTTACCTGGGTGCCACTTCAGCACCTGACAGCAGATCGCGATGAAGGAGGTATGCTCCGATACCAAATTGTAATGAACCCAGACTGGAAGATACTCGTCAGACGTCGAAGCACAAGTAGACTCAGATCTGCACAATGTCTCCAGTTATCGTGAAAGTGATATCTGAAACACTATCTCATTACCAATAGACGAAGAGAGTGAAGGGGGAATAGACAAAGGAGAGGGTGGAAGAGGTAATCAGAGACCACACAAGAGTAGCCCAATCATTACCCACTCCTCCGGGCTTCCCCTCCAGACCCTGATTCCACGTGGGGGTCCATTTTGACTTTGACTGTTGGACATCGGGCAGTTGACTTTGGTCAATTGTTGTCCGCTCAGGCCGTGATTCCACGTAGGGGTCTTTTCTCCCCTTCAGCCTGGGTCTGGGTGTGGCCTGGCGAGGCCCTTAGACATTCCACGGGCTAACTGCATGGGTCATTGCATAAATTACTTACAGAGGTATGCATACACTCTAGCTTCACTTATTTTCCTGGCCTGTGTGTTGCTGAGTATAGTCGCCCTCTGTGTCTTGCCGCTGTTCTTGAGGAATTTTGTCCGTCTCACTCTCCCCCGTCCCATTCTAGATCCATCAGTGAAAGCTCCTAAGGTGGGAACAGGTCCGGGAAGTCCAATGGTGGCCATAGTTGAAAAGACGCTTCAGTCCTTGTCCAATCATGGAAGCACAGCTTGTAGTCCTTTATGGCTTGCATCCTCTTCTTTTACTGTTCAAGTTATTGGAAACCCACAGTGTGCCAGTGTGAATGCATTGTTGATCAAGGCTCGGTCGTGGGAATCTTTTTTATGATCTGTTCATCAACATTGGCATGTGCACCATGCTTCCACATGGAGAATCTGTATGTCGCCATGAAACTGTTTACCAGGGTGGTACTGTGGGTGGTACTGTCTGCAGGACTTTGGTCCCACAGCCCCTAGTTCTTTCAGACGTCAGCAAAGATGGCCGCATACATTATTTGGCACCCAAAGGGGGGTGAAGAGGTCTTCCTAGGCCACAGGCAGTCTTTCTGGATCACAAGCAGCTAATGCCTCCAAGCACATAACTCTGTAAAATATGAAAAACACTGTGCTCAATCTAATGTAATGGGATGATGGACCCGGTTTCCAGGAAAAAAAGAAAAACAAGGGAAAACAAAAACAGCGTGGGCCTACATGTTGACGAGTTAAAACTCACCACTCCAATGACAGAAGGAAGCCAGCCTTTGTAAAACGCCCGGAGCCCTTCCTCTTGTCGTATTGTCAACGCTGCATCAACTATCCCTCTATATTGCCGTGGAGAATCCTTAGTCTGTTGGCAATGCCACCACCAGGCACAGAGACAATCAACAATGGATCAGTGTGTTCGCAATGCCACCACCAGGCACAAAAAAAATCAACAATGGATCACAAATCGGAGGCAAGAAGAACTTCACAGCAGAAAAAGAAGTCCCAGATAATAATATGCTGAGAGACAATAATGTTCAGGGATCCACAGAACCATCGGTAATCAGTACTAATCACCCAGTGTGATACACGGCATTACACAAGAAGTTGCTACCACCTCCCATCCATGGTCTGGCCATGGCTCACAAAATGACGGCGAGAAGAAGAACACAAATTGCTGAGATGACTACAACGTTTATCCATGGATGGAGACATCGCTAACAACCCAATGCAAACCCAGGGCATTACACAAGCAGCTGCTGCCACATCCAAAACATCAGAGCTTCCAGAACTCCAGCATCATTCAAGACTTATCAGGGCTTCTACCCATCACAATTGCATCACCACAAACACCTTGCACCTGCTTGTATGCACATCCACATCCCTCTGCATACTGCACATAGAGTCACATCAGCCCCGCATGGGCAGACTTCACCCACACACTGCAGATGATATCATGACATAGTGAACAGGGGTAGGTGATCATACAGAGTGTCCCATCCACCCAGCAAGAAAGCATTAGCATGCGAGGGGCTACAAACAAGAAGCTAAGCAGCACCTGTTCCCTTCTATGAGCAGGTCTGGGTAGGGAGCCTAGACATCTGGAACACCTTGCTATCCCATACCAAGGCACCGCCAAACGTAACAACATACCAGTGTTAACGTCAAGGATGGAACACCTCCCGATACCAATCCATGGTGCACCGCCAGACATAGTCTCATTCCAGCATTTACCTTATGGAAATTCCTCCTAGCAGCAATTGCATTTGAAGAAGCCTAGCCCCACAAGATCTACTGCTCAACATCGTACGGTTGCAAAAAGACAAAAGGAAGTGACGGATCCCGTTCCTTTAATTTCCTTTGTAGATGCAACCAGGAAAGCTGCATGATGAATCAAACTCGAACAAATAAAGGCTAACTCATAAAGCAAACAATGGCATGAGATCAGCTTTGCACCAGGGGATCAGCACCCATTTCCCAAAAGAGCACTCCAAAAGTGAATACACCAATCAGTTCGCAGCCCGTCAGGGGTGCGTTTTATCCCCCTGAGACTTTCAAGGGTATTGAAATTTCAACATCAGCGGTCGTTCGGAAGGGTGGGCAATTTTGAGGTGAGGGCGGCCCTTGAGTTTTGAACATTTCGAAATTGAAATGGTGTGGGTCCACTTTTCTCGAATAGAAAGGGTACACATTGTATTCGAATAGAAAGGGTACACGTATGCAAATAGAACACGCACACGCATTCAAATACGTCATGTACCCTTTTTATTCAAATTTCAAAAAGAAAAAACTCTTGTATTCCAATTTCCAATAGAACATTAGTTGTTGTTTTTTTTCCCTGAGGTCAGCGCCTGCCCTTGTGCTCCTCGCCACTGACATGCTGCATATTGCAGGGCTCTCTCTCTCTCTCTCTCTCTCTCACACACACACACACACACACACACACACACACACACGTTCTCCTGTCTATTGGTGGGGAGCGCCACATGCTGGAAACTGGGTCCAGACTCCACCGTCCCATGAACATCGTGAATAAAGCACCAACCGGGACCCCCCCACACACAATCTTCGAGTTGTGTATAGCGAACATGACAAAACATACACACAGTATAATCACTACCTTACCCTTCCCCAACCACATCAACAAACAAACCACAGGCTGCGCACCCATGCCCTGATGGTAAGTCGATCAACTTATGAGATCTAAATAGCAGTGAATGCCAGTTACAGATCCCACTCCTTGGGCAATCACAGAGGGATTATCGAGATCCAAAACACCACTGGAAACCAATTAAGATGAAGAAAACCGCGGAGGGAACATACAATAAATACAATCCCCCTGTGACCCATGCCAGACCAAAACGGTGTAGGAAGAGCGGTGAGGTTAACTGCACACGATAGAATGTCGACATGACAGTTAATTTCCTTTACGGGATACAGCTACATACCTGTACTGTCAACCGCCCTCTAACCATATCAAGTGGGTATGTTGCTGACATAGCCACGATCCCAGCCACTGCACCTGCCCCGAGCCTCAGCACTGGTGTTTGCTCCAGCTCTGCAAAACGAAGGCTCTTCCACTGAGTTTACACAGGCTAGATAAGTGGCCAAGCAAGACATCAACAACCGAAGAGAGCGATCATGCAGGCAACGAGACGCGGCAACGGCCAAAAAGACATCCCAAATCATTTGTATCATCCACGAGTGCTTGTGTACCATAATTGACCAACTGACATAAGAGGTACACAAGAACACACTCAGGTCGTACTCATACTACAAGTTCCTTAGCTGATCGCTAGGCGTAATTGCCATCAGATACATCCAAGACCATCCATGAGTGTGGGCAGACATAGAGCTCATGCTACGATTCCTCAGCTGATTTCTGGGCGTATCAAGGTGACATAAATCAAGGACCAGTCGTGATTGTGGTCAAATACACAGGGAGGTCGTATTGTGAGAATGCAGTCGAAAGGACAAGCCACCAGCATATCACACTAAATGCAGTGACGCAATTCATATTCAGTGTCCATTCCCACACGTGCTACCAACATGTCAGAGGGCAACGAAAACCAAAGAGGCACACCAATGCAGACCAGAATTTGAGAGCCACGGTGGGGCAACCATCACTAGAACTCATAGCAACATATAGCCCCTGATATTCCACAAAGACGCCACATCTGATAACAGCCTACATTCCTCTAGCATATCCAACCAAACACGTCAAATATGCCAATGCAATATTGGGCACAACAAACTTGAACAAGTCACACAAAACGAACATGCATTGCAAACCCACACAGATTTGTCACATTTCAGCACCACATTTTGTCACATTGCACCTTGGCTTCATCTCCAGATTAGTGTACCCACACAGACAGCACTCAGTTAATGAGCACCAAGCTCAGAGCCCAAGTCCCATGGGATGACATCTAAAGATTTTGCAGATGCCAAATGCGATACTGGGTGTAACCAGTTCCCAGCAAATGAATTGACATCTCATACCGTTCGACTCAGCACATCTCAAAGCTCTGTCACGTTGCACCTTGGCTTCATTTCCAGGTTAGTATACCCACTTCACGCACAGCCTCAGACATCACTCAGTTATGACCACCAAGCTGTACGCTATGGTGCCCTTCTGTTAGTAACTATCGTGAACTGCCCGCAATGCACAGTATGCTCACGTGCATAAGGCTACATGTTGCCCTTCTGTGATGACCTGACCAAGCATGGACTGAAACACAGCTGATTTCTGAGTTTTGCTCATAGACTGAATGCCTTGCTGAGTTTCCCGCTTGCTACGAAATTCTCTAAGCCTGTGTGTATGCACGCTTGCTGGACTGCATGTCTGTCTGAGTGCTGGTTGGCTTGAGTGTGTGTGTGGCCCGCAAGGGCACTCGTTCGTTCGTTGGGCCCTCAGGGCCGGTACTTGCCTGTGGCCGTGACATTGAGGGACTGCAGCGGGGGAAAACACTCAAGTAGCAGGTAGGCCGGTACCGCACCCTGAAGAGGAGGATGTGAGGGCCGGTACTTACCTGTGGCCGTGACATTGAGGGACTGCAGCGGGAGAAAACACTCAAGTGGCAGGTAGGCCAGTACCTCACCCTGAAGAGGTAGATGTGCGGGTACACTGGAGGCCGAGCAGAAGAAAACAAAAGTGGCATTTTGAAGAGGCCCAGTAGTTGTAGGCTAGGTCTAGGCGGGTACCAGTCCAACCAGTCTGAGTCTAGGGCCTGTACGGCCAATATCAGAGTCTCCAATGATGTTTCCCTCCGAAAGGGAGGAGGTACCGGTTGCTTGGGAAGGCCGGGCGGCCTGGAAGTCACCGCCCAAGAGGCAAGCAGGCCACTATATCTCCAGGCCGGGCGAAGAGCCCAGCCTCATTGTCGGTGTGCAAGTTTGGCGACACGCTGGTTGGAGCGCTGGCTGGAGCAGCGCTAACTTGGAGCAGCGCTGCTGGGGAAGAAGCAAGGACTTGGAGGAGGAAGAAGGATAGGAAGGGGGAGGAGCGCCCGAGGTACTTACCTGGCTATGGTGGCAGCCATCTTCATCACCTCGGTGGGGGCTGCAGCAGGAAGGCCCCAGCTGGGGTTGAGCCAAACCAAGAAGCTTCGAGGCAGAGTCAGGCATGGCGATCTGAGCCAGAGCAGCCATAGCTGCTTTGGGTTGCCCTTTGGGCATCTGGGCAAGGCCTAGTAGTCCGCCATAGCCTCGGCCTATGAGAGTGAAGAGTGAGGGAGGCGGCCATGGCTATGGTGGACCTCAAGTGATACCAGCAGTAGAAGAGGGATTCGGACTTTGATTCTGGTTCAGCTATTCAAATTTGTATTATTATTTCTTATGTGAATAAGAGAGGAGGAGACAAGGAGGAAGATAGAGTTGGGCGAAGAAGAAGAGCTTTGTCATTTGTCTCTGATTGTGTATATCATCTTCTTCTTCTTCCTTACTTCTTCTTCTGCTAATCTTCTCTCTCCTCTCCAGTTCATTCATTTTCTTCTGCAACTGGACAGCATTGTACTATCTGATGAATTTGTATCTCGAAATTGGCCAGGATCATAACATTGGTATCAGAGCGGATTCTACTTGCTGGTGAGAGTTGACTTTGCTGCCCTAACCCTAACCTAAGTGGTTGAGGGCAACACTTAGGGTTAGGGTTGGATGTAAGGGAAGTGGGGCAGAGTGGCTAAGGGAAGCTGCCCCCACCTGGTTCGGTCATGTGGGGTCGACATTGAACCTAACCAGGTTGCTTGAGAGTGAGATTAGGGTGGCGAGACATTTCGTGGAGACTTCATGCGGCAATTTGAGAGAGGCGACAGTGAGAGGCACTCACACCTGGAATCTGATTCAAGGGAGACGCTTGGCAGCTTAAGGGCTGCCCTCAAGTAGGCGAACTTGAAGGTCAGCGGCCATTCAGCATCTACGGACTGCAAGTTGCTTCTTTGTTCTTCAGCATCGGCGGGGGACCCGGGGTTGCCCTTTGATGTTGGCGTCAGACCCTCCTAGGAGATAGGACACTAGTGTAGGGGTACCGTTAAAGGGGTCAGGAGGATCACATGAGAAGGGCGAGAGTTCTATTCATCTCGAAGCTCAGGCCACTCAGGTAAGTGTCGTGCACCTACGGGATGCCCATGTATGTGTGCATGGTATTGATCATCCTGCCGGGGGTTTCTTTTCTACTCCTCTCTTGGTCTTGATTGTGTGATTGAATGTGTGTGAACTACCTACTCACCTGATGGACGGAGTAACGAAGTATCTTGATTTGAATGCCTATTCCTTCTACAGTGCTTTGTTTTTTCATCTCTGAAAGGTTGTAGTCTGTAGGTTCTGCCGGAAGTTGAAATTCGTTTTCAGGATGGTAGAGGCAGAAACTTAGTCCAAGTGGGACTCCTCTTGGTTGGGACTCTATCACGACCTACGTGGGACCCCTGGGGCCTCAATGGGACCAGGCCCAAGCAAGAAGAGCTCTTGGACCCAAAACTGTTAGACATTAGTCCATTCTCTTCCTAACTGAGATCCAGAGTTTATTCTTCTTGGTTAGGACACCCACTGCTGAGGGGATCTCGGCTGAGACGTTTCGCATGCTTTTGATCACACCGTCCGTGGCTTGACTCGCACCCTATACACCACTCAATTATCCATTGTTGCATTTAGTCACTCGTAGTCTGATTTGCTGTACGGTCACGGAGCTGGTCAGACTGGACTCGAGAGGACCTTGTATGCAGTCTGATCAGACCAAGTCGCTGGATCAAATCTCGCCTATGAAATTGTTTTTTTGTGGTTTGCTGCTCTCTAGTCCAAATGTAATACCGCTCCAGCTAGGAGTTCTTTACCTTCTCTGTCATTGAGCTTCTCAGTTTGTTGCTTTCTCTGAATTCATTTTCAATGCCCGTGGGGACTCGCAACCAGAAAGAAGAGAGAGAGAGGAAAGAGAGAGAAAGTGACCGTCTGGAGTGGGCAAAGATTGGGAAATGGAGTGTTCGTCCAAGCAAAAAGGGGAGTACCTCTTGAGAGTCTAATTGATTCCTTTCCTGATTGGCGTCTCTCTAATCCACCTGTCGACAAAAACGGTCCGAAAATGGCCCAGCCACAACTGACCTTAGTACAGTGGTGGGCCTTGTTGGATGCAGCCGGCAATGCGGAGAAACCGTATCTACAAGCACTCCTAGATAGTGCTGTTTAAAGGGAATATAAAACAGAGGAGGAGAGGAAGGAGTTGTTGCTTAAGAGTCAGATGGCCATCTTGGAAATTGTTCCCTCGGCGACCAAAGAGCAGTGAGGGGAACAGCTGCAGTCTATACTCACCGTTGTCGTTCAAGTTCAAAACCTTGAAGATCATACCACTCAGATCGCCAAAGTCTTCGCAAAATTGTGGAAACTTCAAGAGGATCTGACTGATATGACCGGCAAGTACCACGACTTGATGATGGAGGTTGCTGCGCTCCGACAAGCCCAAGTGCCCAATCCTTTTCCTCTACCCCCTGGTTCCGAAGCTGCCATTATAACTAATCTTGCCCCTCTTACGATATCTTCTTCTAATTATTGTTCTTCTTCTTGAGTGTGATGGCAAACCCCTTGGGACCTGCAGCAGGTGCAAACCCCGTTGTTGCTGTAACAACCGACGAGGCGAGAAATTCTGCAACAACCGCAGCCCCAAGATCGGAACCAGCAGGTGCTGGTCTCAACTACGCCGGTCCCTATGTGGATCGAAAGGCGGTGCAAATACCATCTAAATATGACGGCAAAGAAGAATATGAATCCTGGATCAACTCCATGAGGGCATAGTTTGGGGTTCTTGGGACTCAACCTGAGACACAATACGTGATCATGGGAATGAATGTCGAGCCTGTTGTACGGGGCTTCCTAGAAGTCCAAGCTACGCGAGCTGAGGTTCCAAAGATAGAACTAACTAGGTGGTTTGAGACCACCCCGGTTGCCTCCCTCGAAGAACTTCTTATCGCACAGTATATGGATCCACATGCTGCAGCAAGGGCAAGGAACCAACTTGACAACATCAAACGCAGCAAGTCGTCGAGCTCCATGAAAAGCCTTCAGACTTACCTC